ATAAATATTACATGGCAGGAACAGTTGTTATCTCACGATTCCTTTTTTATATTAGTATAGATGTGCGTGTGTGCGCGCGCGTGTGTGTATATATATTCTTTTCTACATGATTATGAAATCTAGTAAATTTGGATTCTTGTTCCAACGAGAAAGTTATTATTGTAGATGAGTAAAGATGCTTAGTCGGATATGCAGACGTAGCTTCGGCTCTGCTTCTCCTCATCCATGGCTCTTTGTTGGGCTGGGCAATCCTGGTGATAAGTACAAGGGAACACGACACAATGTATGTTGCAATCTTTTGTGGAAATGGACTGTTTGACATCTTTCGGGCTACATGCCTACATTAATATCATATTTATTTCCCTGCAGGTTGGGTTTGAAATGGTAAATGCGTTTTCTGAGTCCCTTGGCATCCCAATGGAAGATATACACTGCAAAGCTATATTTGGGAAAGGTTTCTTCAGCCATGTTTTGGCTTTACCACTTCCGTTTTGTTGCTTTCATGCATATTCACATACATGCTTATTTGTATCAGCAAATGTCTATTTTCAGGTTTAGTCAATGGAGTTCCAGTATTTCTAGCCAAGCCCCAAACTTACATGAATTTGAGTGGTGAATCTGTAGGTTATTAAAAATTATGTTTGTAGTCCCTTCACGAATCAGTTTTTTCTTTAGAAAATTACATCTTTTGTGTGGTCCAATAGAAAATAGTTTAATGACGATGATGACAAATAAGTTTCCATTTTTTTCTGTTAGAGTGGACCACTTGCTGCATACTATAAGCTCCCGCTCAACCGCGTGATTGTGGTATAGTCTCTTGACTATTTTAATCATTTAGTTCTAATTTGAATTGACTATAAGTTGTGGGGCACCTTGAATGTAGTTTCACGATGATATGAATTTGCCATGTGGAGTGCTTCGTCTCAACCCTAAAGGAGGTCATCATAGTCACAACGGGTATGCCTATTATGCCTGAATGGACTCACATAAGCGCACTATCATGATGAGTTAGATGCATATTGAGGTCATTGTAGTTAATTACAAGTCTTGATTTTTTCTTTTAGTACCTCGTTATCTTCTCGGATCATGAAAAGAAGATGTCTCAGCCGCTTATAAAATAGCACTATATAACAGTGCTTTAACACTACGGGCATTAATTTTATGCTCATTCCCACCTGTCTCCCTAACCGTGCTGCTTAAACGATTGAAATACTGCTTCATCTTCTGATATGTTCATTATTATCAATTTATCTTATTGATGTATGCATATGCATGCTTTACACGAGTAAACCAGAAGGTGTTTATCTCTATTCGAAATGAGTTGTCTTTTTAGAGTAAAGCTAAGATCTCAAACCCCAAATATACTTGGGTGTGCTGTGTGCATTACTTCAGGGATCAATGATTCATATCTTGTTTAAGGAAAACCTTTTGTGCTTCAAATAATAAATAGGATGCAATATATGATGTCCCTTTTTATGTGATGAATCTTATCTGATGATTTTCTTGTGAAGCCAGTAGCCACTTTATTTGCAATGTTTGAGGCTTGACCAGTTCAAAATTCACTCATATCTGTTTACTTTGCAGATAGCGCTGACAAATGCTTAAAATATTAGCAACAGCTTTGTGGATGTGAATCGTTATCTTAAAAAACTATTTCTCTATCTTAACTTTTTAGGTTGAAGAGTGTGATTTATCATTTTCGGGGAAACAAAGAGTTTCCTCGATTAAGAATAGGTTGGTTTAACTTCCAAGCTCCTTTATTATTTCTGTTATATTTCTCCTGTATGTCCAATACTCCTGCTCTTCTTATTTATCAGGCATTGGAAGACCTGCTGGTCAAATGGACCCCAAGGCATTCTTGCTTCAAAAGTTTAATGCTACTGGGAGAGAACGGGTATGCACATTTGTTTGTATGTTTTGCTCTCTAATTAATCATCTGTCCCCTCCATCCAAAAACAATTTGACGTAAAATGATTATTACCGGTAGAGCTGTATGTTTGTGGGTGGTGCAAAAAGAAGAGAAACAATATTAACCACTCAAATCATTCCCTAAAAGGAAATGTGAAGAAAATTTTGGGCATTCTATAAAGGAAAACAGGGACAAAATTTTGGGGCAAATTGAATGAGTCTTTTTTGCAGTACCACCGCTTAACATTTGAGTGCTCTAACCTGAGCATATCTATGACATTTTCAACAAGTGTGGCTTAGTCATAAAATAATACTAGAATTGTCAATTTGATGCACATTATAATCTTTTCAAGAAAATCATCATACAATAAAAACCAATAGTGTCGGTTGTGTGTGTGTGATTGAGAGATTTATCCACTCTACTTTTTGACAGATCGATGTTGCCTTAAAAGAAGGGGTTAATGCGTTGAAGCAAGTTGTGTCCCAAGGCTTAACGGAATCATCAAGGTGCTTTAACACCCAGCAAAAGTACAAACATATCAGATTGCAGACCGTCCCAGTATGATACCAGATTATTCAAGGTTCTTTTTGTTTCCATTTTTGTTTGATAAACCTTGAACACGGTTGATAGAACTTTACTGCTAGTGCATTGTTGCTGCAATCTATACAGGGAGTATTTTGGCTAACTTTATCTAATGACTTTTTATCATAGTACATCCAAGTGAATGTCAACCCCAAAATTGTTTGGGACTAAGGTTTGGATGTTGTTATACATCCAAGTGAATGCAAAAAAAAAATGATGATGTTTCTGGCTGTTTAAAAGAGTACTGTACGTTTTATTTATAATAAACAAAATTATTTTGTTATTGTAGTTGTGACATTATTATGTTTTTTTGTTTAGATAAATTATAGAAGATGTTTGATGTGTTTCTTTGAGAGAATTTTATTTTAGATCTAGTAAGTGAGTTTCTATATCTGAAAGTTATGTTAAGATGGTATTGTGTTTTTGCCTTCCCAGGAAAAGTTTCTGAATAAAGCAGATAGGAAGTACCTTGATGCCCAAAGTTTATTCTAATGGGAAGAGACGGAGATGGGAGTTCGAATTTGGTTCTCTCAATTGCTCCTTACTTGCTCGTGAAGTTGTAGTTTATTGTCTGTTAAGGAAATACATGTAGATTTATAGTTTCTGACACATGTTTTGCTTGTAATTGGTAAGTTATATATTTCTATGAAAAATGGTATGATATCAGACTAAGGCATTCATTTCTTATACTTCGTATGTAATTATTTCCTAAATCCTAATCTATCTAGAATTGAAAAAGTATTTAATGCTGAACGGAATTGTACGCTACAAGATCTTATTAACCACATCAATAACAAAATTCAATGAGCACTAGTAGAATCAGAAATGCATCGGACATTTTATAAGGAAGTTTAACTAGGAATCTGATAAAATTTATCATAAGTTCATAACTCATAAGAATTTGGATTATTGACATTCAAACGGAGGTAGGGGTTGGCCTCGGCCCTCGGTCCAGAACTAGATCTGGCAGACTGGCACTATTTGGGACTGCATCAGGTCCGTTTTTTCCGGTTTCAGATGTGGGATCGGCCATGTTTGCTCAGACCGGCAAGAGGGGTATCAGATCCTGGTTCACATATTTGGGGGTCAAACTGGGTGGTTCTAGACTTCTAGAAACAAGTAAAACAAAATCGAAGGGATGGGTCTGGAACTGGGAGAGAATAGGGATGGACTCGGGCCGGGCAGCCCGGCCTGGTCACTGTTTGAACCGGCCCGGCGGCCCGGCCCATGGGCGGTTCGGGTCGACCCGGCCCGCTGGCTACCGGGCCCGGGCCTTCATTTTGGTGAACCGGCCGGGCCGGATTTGTTTTTTTTTTTATTTTTTTTTAAATTTTTGGGTTGGATTGGTTATTTTGGGCCATTTGAGGTGGTTTGGGGTGGTTTGGGGTTGAGGGGGAGGGTAGGGGGTTGATTAGGAAAACCCAAAAACAAAAATTGTATAGAACCGGAACCGGACCCGGCCTGAACCGGACCCGGGGTTACCCGGGCCGGTTCCGGGCCTCCCCTACCTTGAACCGAGGCCTGGCCCGGAACCGGTCCACCCATAGGAGAGAATCGTCTGGATACCTAAAATCGGCCTAAGGGATATAATGGGGTCCAACCAGTCCTGGACTCGGGCCGGGTCGAGTCCGGACCTAGGTCCAAGCGGGCCGCCGGTTTTGAATAGGTGGGCTCGGGACCGGCCCGGGTATCCACCGGGTCCGGGCCTCTTTATATATATATATGTATGTATATATATGTATGTATATATAGAATAGAGATCAAATACAAACCCTTCTTAATTTACAAAGTACAAACTCATCTTGACCATCCGATGAGTTGATCCAAAGGACATAAAGGCAAGGTGGCATTTTTGTAATAAAATCCAACTTCTTTAGGGTGCAACTCATTGAACGTTAATGTGCACCTGCTATTTTATGGTTGAATAATATGCACTACTTTGAACCTCAATATGCAATACAAAGAACGTTAAGGTGCATCGTACAAATATTTGCACAATAAGCACAGTTTGTACTTGATCTTTCCCCTGTATATATATGTATATATGTGTGTGTGTGTGTGTGTATATATATATATATATATATATATATATATATATATTCTAATTAACCCCCGACCCCCCCCCCCCAAACACCCCAACCCAACCCGTTGGAATAAAAAAATGAAAAAACAAAAAAAAAATTGATTTCGGCCCGGCCGGGTCTCATTTTGAAGGAACCGTGCCCGGAACCGTCTCCCCCTCGGGGCGGGACAAAGCCCGGTACTCGGACCAGTGAACCGGGCCGGTCCCGGGCCCGCACAGTAGCGGGCCGGGCCGGTTCACGGGCCGGGTGGCCCGACCGGAGTCCACCACTAGGTCGGACCATGGCTTCTCTAAACAATGACCGGGACCGTCCGGTCGGGGCCGGGTCGGAACTGAGTCCACCCCTAAACGGAGGGAAACATTGGAAGTTTGGGATATCAACCATAATTGCATATTGCTAGTTCTGGTCAAGAACTCAAGGCTAGGGGGGGATTTGAATTCTAATGGCACTACTTTCGAGTCATTAGCATGTCTTTGAAACAACGAATTACTCGGGCTAGTTCTGGTCAAGAACAAGGGTAAGGGGTATTAGAATTCTAATGGCACTCAGATAATGTTCACATATGTGTCACGAAAAAGTGGTGTCACAACCAATATGATCAGTAGACAACCCATGCAAATAACCCCATCATAAATTTATGTCTCATCATATTTTTCAAACTTGGGGATATAATAACAATGCGTAGTGGTACATGAATTCATATAAGATCTGGAGCCAGCCTAGCATGTGTTGATCCCATCCTTGCAATCTGAGGTTAAGTTGTAAAAAGTCTCCACCTTTGTCTTCGCTCTGTAAAGAACCTCGGTGTCCACTTCGACCCGCATATACCCATCAAACTCAACCGGGCGCCCACCATTCAGCAGTGTCGTCTCATTGTACCACTCACTAGTGTTACTCCACAAATATTGGTAATCATCAAGCAGGTGAAGCTTATAGTGAGGCCTCAGCTTATCAAAGTAATTATAGAATGGTTCGTTCGTAGCAATATAAAGATTCCTTCCGGGCACAACCATTTTCTGAATCTTTTCAACAAGGGCATCTGGTGAAGTGTCGAAATCCAAACGAGGCCATAACTCCTTATTTTCAGCTTTATATCCACGAACAACATGGGCTGCATCGAAGTCCCAATCCATACTCGCACTAATGGCAGTGACTATATTCATCAACCTCTTTGATTTCCATAGAGCATGCCAAGGCCTCTGAATATACTTTGCGGACGGACCTTCACAAACTCTATACCAATAGTTTTCAGGCTCAGGAGCATCAAACTTTCTCCATATTATCGTGCTTTTATTATCTTTCTTAAGCTGCATTGGAGTGACTTTATAGCCAGGTACCTTTCTCACAGGGATCTTCTTCTTGTGCGTCTTGTCCCATTTCTTCCAATCTTTGATGAAATCAGCTTCTTCGACAATTGAAGCCTCCTCTTTTAAGTGCTCAAAATCAAAGTAGAACCGAAAGTCTTTTCCTTCATCATCCTTCTTACTCTGGGTGTAAGTGGATGCCAGACAGATACTAAGATCCATCACGAATGTCCTGTTCAAGAACTGCGCCTCACCAAGAGCACATAGAAAGCTCCATAAGAACTGATTCATTCCTTTACAATAGTCGCCCCCACGAGAGTAGTACAAATATTTCCCATTTTTGAAGGCCAAATCTGATTCCAAGACTGGGATTGTGTCGTTGATCTCATCATCCTGAATTGGAGGAGAAATTTTCGATCTGGGACCAGTTCTAGTGGTTTTATTATTATTCACTTGAATTCTTGGAGGACGGGCACTTAACCCTGAATGCCACTTCCCGGCACGAACAACTTTGTATCTACAACTGGGGGAAAATCCGACCTTGAATCTCCGGAAATCCCTATATTTCCTCCATGACTTCTCTCTCTTGTTCCTAAACCTCCATGCCACATCACATTCATCTGGCTGAGACCCATTAACCGGAGTTTGGTAATCGAAAATTGCAAGGGATTTGAATCTCTTCATGTTAAACCTCTGAATGGTGACCAAGACTCTGGGATCGGAACAGTTGATTGCATCTCCATCTGCACAATTCGTCTTTAACGTCACATTTGGGAGATTCCCTTCGGTTTTTTCAATTATCTCCTCTGTAATTGGTACACTTGCAGATGAGGGTGAGGTTGATGGGGAGATGGAAACCATATCCTCTCCAGTTCTAAGGACAGAAGTATCCGGCTTAAAAGTGGCATTTTCAACGGCAGTGAAGACCTTAGTCAATGCTCTTTCAGATTCCCATGGATCCGGAGGTTGGTATGTGACAGCAATCACAGTTATTATAAGCACAGAGAATACAAAAAATGAGAAACAGACATTGCTAATCCGCTTTATTATGTTCTGGCCGATTGGATCTGTAATTGGACTCTGTTCTCTCATTGCAACAGCATAAACCTATCCCTAACCACAAATCAAATCCAAACATCACACACTAATGTTAAATAAAGCTTTCCATATTGGACTACAATGAATGAGATTTTAAAGCCGTGAAGGATTTCTTTCACTAACCTCTAAGCTGTTTACTCCATAGCCAAAACCGTCAAGGAAAATCTGGATCTATCTTGAAGTTGCTTAGTAAGCTTCCGTTACAGGATCTTGTAGTTGCGAGGGTATGAACAAACCTATCTCAATATTTCATTTCAGTTTATGGATTTGATCTTCAAAAGCTTGTGCGAGCAAGAACTGGGCCGGGGCAAAGGTTGGATCTTGAAGCCAGTTTCAGGGTGCTTTAAATTGTACTAAATCAATTCATCATACTAATAAAGAGAACAATAAAAGAGCCGGTTCTGAAGTGAAAGGGAGAGAGAAAGAGCTGTGTAACGCGCAAGAGGATTAGATTGGAAGGAAACTAGAGAAGATGGTGGAAAACGAAGACATTTCTGGGAAGATTTTGGGGTAGTTCTATAAATTAGAAGAGATGCGGGGGCAACTTATCAATATTAGTTTTAGTTTTGCTTAATCTTTACTGCTCTGTGATCTGGAGTCATCTTTCATCAGCAGGTAGTTTGTCTAATTGCCCGTCCATTTGGTTAGTTAGTGAGTACCCTTCAATCAGCATCACAGATATTCGTATTAGTTCCAATTTTAGAATATGTTGAATAAATGTATTAATAAAAGAAGTTAAAATACAAATGTGGGTTTTTGAAGCATACTGATCATCATAAAAGAAGTTAAAATACAATATGTTGAAATCACGATAAATATATTAATAAACGAAGAGCGTTAAAATAAAAATGTGGGTTTTGAAGCATGCTGAATGACTAACAGACTAATCATAGGTAAATTAATCTATGGTCATATAAATGTGATACATTTTCTAATATATTGGCGCAACGGTTCTTAGTCATCCTTATGAGTGTTACAAATTTGATAGAGAACTCATTAAAAATTTACTCCGTATAAATTAAAGATTGTTATGTAATTATGAGTGTTCATAATCTGTAGGTCCATATATACAAGCTCATATCATTATTAGTGATATATAGACATCTTTATATGTAAATTAAGTAACTTTCGATATGGTTCATTATACGTTATTAACATGGTCTGCCTCTTCTTATTTCAAGAGAAGAATTTACTTTCATTTTCTAGCCGATTGTTAGATTATTACCTAAATAGTTCATTTTTCACCTCCTTGGTGAACAATGAAAAAAGAGTGAAGGTTAGGGGAAATCTAGTATATACAATGTGTTGGTCGAACACCAAAGTCTTAACCATATAATTGTACAAACAATGTTAGAGCCTAGAGAGTGCGATTTAAATGAGAACAATGTTTAACGTAAGAACATGAGAACACACACATTTAATCAAATTTAATGCACGATGAAGGCCGTCTATTTCAATTTTTAACTTTGTTCGAACAACATCAATATTAAATAATTGTGGTGGATTTTTTGTAAATAGTATGTGTTGCGCAAAGAATGCAACAAGCAAGCCTTTGTGTGCATTACAATGTGGTATTCTCACGTTAAGCATTGTTCTAATTTGATATTTATCCAAATGTCTTAACGATAGATGTGATATCATGGCATTAATACGATTTGTTTTTGTTCAAAAACTGTAACAAGTTCATTATTCACGTTTTTTTTATCTCAATAGTTGTCTACTTGTCTCCCCTCGTCACAAATAAATTTCATTTTTTCCTTCTAATTAGTTGTTCAATTGCTAGCCAAGTATGAGGTGTTATATTTTTTTGTTAAGTTTCATTTCTTATTAGAGTATGAATAACCCTGTATATGTATATCTCTCGTTATCTTCTTCACCCACCAATATTTACAACCAAATTTTTCTTTAATTTCCATCACCCCGTCAAATGTTTTTCCGCTTTTCGCAATCTGACTTCGCTTTCCAATTTCCATGGTAAACTTGGTATTTTCTAAATCTCGGAATAATTTTTATTAATTGGATCTATTATTCTAGTATCCTTTCCTCCATCAACTAAACTTTGAATATTATTGATTGATTTCACTGAATTTGGATTCAAATATGACTATAAGGAATCAATTTCTTGAATTAATTCCACATTTAGTCTCATGATTTTTATGTCAATTTCACATTCAATCTACGTCTTTCACTTTGTCCACTTTTTGTACTTAATTAATGTTTTAAAATCATTTGTGGTCCTTTTCCGGCAATTTTAACCATCAAAAACATTGCCGGAAGAACTATATGTGGGCAAAAACACAATAATCATGTATTAAAGGTGGACAAAGTGAAAGACGATGACTAAATATGAAATTGACATAAAACTCGTAGGACCAAAAACGAAATTTATTCTCTATTTCTTCGATCGTTTCTATGTACGTATCTAGTCATGGACCCGGGCCGGGCCGGTTCCGGGCCGGGCCCGGCCGGGCTTTTTTTTTGGGAAGGAAGGCCCGGGACCGGCCCGGGTAGCCACCGGGTCCGGTCCGGGTCCGGGCCGGGCCGGGCCTCCGGTTCGGTCATAATTTTTTTTTTTTTTTGCTTTCCTAACCCCCCCACTCACCCCCCCCACCCCTCCAAACCCCCAAACCCCTCCTAACCATCAAGCCCAACCCAACTAACCCCAAAAAATGAAAAAAAAAATAAAAAAAAAATCAATTCGGCCCGGGCCCGGGCCCGAACCGGCCGGTTCGCCAAATACTACGCCCGAGCCCAGACCCGCCCCCCCACCGGGCCTAGGCCCGACCCGGACCCGAGAACCGGGCCGGTTCCGGGCCCGCACAGTGGCGGGCCGGGCCGGTCCCGAGCCAGGCGGCCCGAACGGGGTCCATGCCTATACGTATCTAATAATTTCATTAGTTGAATATCACCAGAAACATATTCTGGTAAATTTGGATTCATTGTTTTTACAAATATTTTGAAATACGATAATCTATTCATACAAGTTAAAAAAAAAAACAAGTTAAAAGAATAGAATGGGGCTTGAAAGAATATCGATCATATCAATATAGTTATGTCAAAAAAAGATCACATCCGTATAGTGATTAGTGAGTAGTGACTAGAGTTAATTTTTGGGTAAATTACCCTATGACCATATAAGTGTGGGAAAACAAATTGAAACTGTGTCGTAAGATGGCCAAATATTTTTTTTGAAATCGTAAAATGGCCAAATATGGAACTCATTACATTACACTAAACATTATAACCAAACTTACGGTTCAAACTTCAAACAAGCACACATTTTTAAAAAATACGGTGTGATAGACACAAGCTCAAGATTTTTTGCATACCAAAAGTCTTATGATACCTAAAACAAAGACTAACTGATTCACCTAGAAATGATTCATACGCAAGGCCAGTTAATAACACCCCAACTATTTAACCGGCCACCCTATGAGTATTTCGGACAAAAATATTACTGTAAGAAAATAATCATCTTCTACAGGAAACAAGAATATGCAAGAAAAAAATAACAAGTTAAAGACTTTGTATGGAAAGAATGGAACAAAAGCTAGCAGCATCGTAAGGGTTAGGCATGGACCAGGATGGTTCCCGGTCCCCAACAGTCTGCCTGGTTGGTTCCTGTCTGGTTCTACATGCTTTATGCCATTCCCTCCTTTCACCTTAACAGGAAATTATAACACTATCAATTCCTAAGAAGCCACCGGCACATGGAGTGGCCATTTTATAGGAGCTCCATCTGATCACACCCTCTTCAAAGTCTTCATAGGAAGTAATCGGGTGTTCTTCGAGTTACATCAGGCTCACCTCTCCTTGGAGCCGGTTCAAACTGTAAAACAACAAGTATTTCGAGAGTCAATCTATCATTACAAAAACTTGAGGTATAAGAAAATAAGGAGTGATGTCCACTCCACTTGATGATCGTTTATGGAATTACTACTACATCGGATCCCATTCGGCTAAAAAGGGAGAGAAGAGAGACCTGAATGAAAGTATGTCCTCTGCAGTCATCAACTTCGAGTATGGATGCCATATTTCCACATCGATAACAATAATTTGGTGCACTGAATATAGTAACAACTTTTTGGTCCTGCAAAAAAAAATCATTATAAATGACCAATAAATAATGATTACATTGAGAAACCAAGGCTATAGATATATTATTACATGAGCCCAGTTGAACCCCTCCATAACCAGCTGGTGTGCTCTAGCAATGAGCTTCAAGCTGTTAGTCTGGTGAAATTGCTCTGATATATCCTGCGAAATTCAAATAATAGAACTGAATAACAAAATTGAATCCCAAAAATGAAAAACATAGGCAGTAAAATAGTACAGAGGGAAGTGTAGAATTACCTGGCCAAATGTATATCCTGCACCCCTGGGTGATATACCCCAGCCGCAACGGTCATCAGGATCAGACCATAGGAGATCACACATGGGACCCTCATGTGGAACTTCTTGTACACGATCAAAATTACGGATATTATCAAGTGTTTCAATGGATGGAGACAACCCACCGTGGAGACAAAATATTTCAGACTCGACCTAGCAAACAAATGTACAATTAGAAAATTACAATAAAACAAATGTCTGCTAAAAAAGATCCTATGGAAACACATTAATATCTTTTGATGGAATAGACACATTAACATCTTTTGATGGAATAGATTGTTACCACCATGGAGACAAAACATTTCCGAGTTTCCGACTCAACCTAAAAAGGGCAGCCCGGTGCATGATGGCATCCCCACAAGGTGAGGGTCCGGGGAAGGGTCCCACCACAAGGGTTTAATGGGGGCAAGCCTTCCCTTGCCAACGTTTGGAAAGAGGGCACACCCGGGACTTGAACCCATGACATCTCGGTCACATGGCAAACAGCTTAACCAGTGCACCAAGGCTTCCTTTAATTTTAGGCTCGACCTACCAAACAATCTTTACAATTAGAAAAATACAATGGAAAAACTGTCTGCCGATAAAGATCCCATGGAAACACATTAACATCTATTAATGCAATAAAATGTTAACATCTGTCGGAAAAAAGTCACATTTGATACAAAGCTCATTTATTAAGTTGAATTGGTTTCAATAATTGATTCACCCTATAATAGATACCAAGTGATATTCCCTATTATCTATTTTTCACCTTAAAATTGGCATGAAGGTTTACAAGCCGGAATTTTTTTTTATCAATAGTCAGAGTTGTATACCCCTTATTCCCTTGTAGGTGGAAGCCTTTGCGGCACTAGGGTAATGTTGTTGTTGTCAGAGTTGTATATACTAAACTAATGGACTAATATTATTTTTACAAATAGAAGAAATAATGGAATTTGTTGACTTTAAACTTTCACTGGCATGACTGTGAACTCGCAACTTCATGATTTCTATAGACCATTGCGATGTTTGTATCGAGAAATAATAAACCTAAACCTGTCGTAATGAATAGTAAACTTAAACCTAACTTGAAAAGGAAATTATAATACTATTAAAACTATGAAAACTATATTACCATTATATACTTGAACGGTAATCAATAGGCCCTCAATATCGGGACATCCCATATGGCACAAGTAAGTTTCAACTAATGGGATAAAGGGAGTATAGTTTCTTTAGAAATAGAAACTATTAGTCTATTACTGCACCATGAAGCAGTGACGCACAAAATTTGCCCCATGACCATTTTCTAATTGAAAGTGGCTTTTCTACAAATAGTGGAAATAAGAAAATCATGCCATCCAAAGTTCTGAACTACTGCCATGAGTAAGCACATAAGGAACCTTTGGAAAATGGGTGATGCCATTTATACTTTTATATGGGGGCCGAAAGCATTCCATATAAATTTACAAGAGATTCCCGAAAATGATATGATATACGAACCAATGCTGTCAGCGGAAAATAGTCAAACAGATCTGTGAATGTCTTCCAGACGTTGGCATTACCATACCTGTAAAATGAAGTGGCCGTGAATCAACACTGGTCTTGACTATTAAGTATCTAAGGTGACAGAAAAATAATTGGATAAAAAGTAGAAGAGGCTACAAAATTTATGCATAAGACAAATAAACTAAAGAAAAATACCATTTAAAACACTGATGCATAAAGGACCAAACTGCAAAAGGCACTCCATACATACTCCGTACTTTATTCATCATAGGGTTCTTTCCAGTCTTTAATGACTATGACTCAATTACATTTAACCAGTGGGTCCAGTGTTACCTTATAACTAGACTCCCAATAAAATCTTGTTTCTTCAGTAAATATTACGTAGTATAAACACAGCCAATGAAAATTAAAGAATGTTTAAAGATATAATGGTGATATCTACTTAAAGAATGGTTACATAGATTTGGATTTATAATTTTATATCCCCGTGATAAAATTTTAACATCAAGTACAATTCATGAATGACTAATCAACTCACTTCCTTAAGCATTCATCGTAAAACCCATAAACTTGAGTAATCTGCAAGAAAGACAGGCCATCAGTTCACTCAATTTAACAATAAAGACTATATAATATGGAGTAGTGAGGACATAAAAAAGCAGGGAAGAGTAAAAATGGAGAGGCAACTGTATGTTTAAAGAATAACTCAATGATAAATGATTTCAACTATCACTCAGCTTCAATAAGTGAGGATCGTTCAACGGTTCAACCAGCTCAATGATAGACCCAAGAATGAGATTAAATATTGAAATTTTAATAATGGAAATCAAAGCATACCTGGCGACTCTCGTGATTTCCCCTCAAGATTGTAATTCGTTGATGATAACGCACCTTGAGGGCTACCAAAAGCTAGAAAAAGAATAAGCTGGATTAGAGTTACATGTTTAACAAACTAAATACAAATGAACTAAAAAATGGGAGATGGAAACGTTAAAAATCAGAATCCTACTGTTACTGTCTCAACAGAGTAGTATCCACGATCCACATAATCTCCCATGAACAAATAATTGGTATCTGGGCACTGCAATTAAGACAAGAAAAAACTTAACAGTGTGAAACAGACTTCATTAACATATACTACTCTAGTATCCCCTCTTACCATTTGCGACGGGGAACATGGAATACTTAAGGATTCAAAATTAAACTAATGACAGTAAAACTCTAACCAGTCTATTCACACGCAAACATAGAGACAAATACTATAGAATCGTTTTTCTTCTTTAAATCTTAGAATTATTAAGAATGTGTAGACAGGCAAATATATATTGTTAAAATAATGAATGTAACTGAGAGTTGGGAGAAGCACTTATACCCCATGATAAATATCAGAATCAGACATATTATATAAGTAAATGGAATTGAAAATACCTATATCACCATTTCAAACAATCAGGGTAGTAAAAATGAATCAGAGGCTGGTGCACATGGAGAGATTTCATTTATATAAAAGTTCGTTAATTTTATAATGAATTTGTACAATTGAATCGCAAACTTACAGAAGTCTTGAGTGTTTATAATAAAATTTGCAAGGGTGTGATCCCTAAAAACACAAGGACAGAAGGTGCAGAAAAAAAAATAACAGAAGATACCTTTCCGCCGATCCGGAAAAGCTCAGCAAGATCGTGGAACTGCCCATGAATATCACCACATATGGTCACAGGGCTTTTCACAGGCTACAGAAAGGAAATAACTTTTTTTAAGTTTCTATATAGTGCTGAACGTGTAATTATTGTTATTTAAGCAGCTATAGGCACACATGCATGTAGAGTTCAGTCCAATAATATGGTTGTAGTCACAGATCACATCTCAGTGGTGTAAAGCTCTAGCTCATGAAAGAAAAAATGCATAATAAAATACTACAATGAAATAATGCATAGGGTATACTCAAGGGAGTCAATAAATTGGACGAACATATCAGAAACAGGGAGTAAATATAGTTGATGAAAAAGACACGCTAAAATAAAAAACATTAAGGTTCAAAATGATATTAAATAGAAGCATTTAAAGTTCGCTCACTTGACTAACAATAATAGCAAATATTAATAACATGAGACACTGTTCAGAAGATTGCCAGAACAAAGGCAAGTTTTTAATCGTGTATTCTTAAATACTAGAAGTATCCTACATTCCTACGTAATATATAACCAGAATGAAGTTATACAATAGAATTAAGGAAACATGTCATCTATACTCTGGGTGTGCTAAGTGGGGGTGTGGGGAGATATTTTTTTCTCAAAGATGTCATACTTGTACATTGCTCTCGCCGATCAGAATCTCCTTTGCTTTATCACAGAGCACCCTTACCTACAGTTTAAAGCAGAAGATTTTGGTGACTTCTTATTCCGAAGGAAAAAAGAGGCAGCCAAATGGGAAAATATTGCAGCAACATGCTACAATACCAAATTCTCAATAAATATCTTTCAGCTCAATGTACAATCTGGACCTCAATATAAAATAGATGTCATTCATTGAAACACGAAGATACTAGTACCTCCAAGGCTGAACATAATGCATTACATTATATGATACATTATTTCTAAAAATGAACAGAGAATTTCAGGCAGTGCAGTACTTATCAGAAATTCATGCTCTATAAGGAAAATGGAATACGAACAATCAAAGCAGAAGACAGAGCAAGCTAGCAGAATTTTACTTGTATAAGGCAACTTCTATATCAAGCCTTCTACTTTATATAGATTTACACAATAATTGATGTTCATCTAATACTACCATTTACACAAGCTGATAGCATTTTTCAGTTCTATTACTTCAGAACCAGAATTATATACAGATGGAACGGTTTAACAGAAAGAACAAAAATTAAACAAAACTTGAAGATTCCAGCACACTGAACAATGCAACCAAAATTTAAAACATAAATCAATGTCACAGTATAAACACAATTTCCTTCTGAAACTCGAATTCTTTTTAGATTTAGATTTTGTAAGTAGAGAAGGAGTAATTGTTTCTATTTTCACATTCAAGCTCCAATGAAATTTCTAATTCACCCATAACCCAAGGGGAAACGGATCCGAAACCTAGATGCATAGACCCGCAATTATTAGCAATTGGAAACCCCCAATATAAGAAAGAAAGCAAGGGCGTGAAAATTTGATAGCACATGTATTATTTCAGATCGGGTAATCTTGGAACTAATTACCCAGAAAAGAATCATAGAAACGAAAAGAATGCCAATAATACAAAAAATGATCTTATATATATCACTAATTTCAAAGGAAAACAAAAGCATGGGGGCTGGGTACCTCTTGCTCTGACAAGGGTTTGCACTGCATTAGCTGAGCAATCTGCTCATCCAGATTCCCATGAGCAGCGCTCGACGGAACCGAATCCATTTTCCGAATCTTGTCTTCTCCTACGACGCCGTCACCCTTATTGACACTCAGAGAGTCAGGGACGGAGGGAAGTGAAAGATAAAGCGTGGATTTTGGCGTTTAGATGCAGAGAGAAGAAATCATAAAAGGAGAATAGTGTAGAATTTTGGCATTCCAGGTACGATGATTCCTCTTCGTCCTCGTTCCTCTACGACGTCTTTTCACCGGAGCTCGACCGGGACGATGAGAACGCACTGAAGAGTGGTGGTGGTGACGCCAGAGAAAAGATTCTTCAAGGAGAAAATATCACCTCCAAGCTCCTGGCGGGTCCCAGGCACACCCTTCCCTTCTTACTTCTATGGTTAATTTTAGGGATAAAAATAAAAAGAGGAAACACTCAAATAGGTCCCCGAACTTTCTTAAAAAAAGTCAAATAAATCTTTATATAGGAGGTTCTGTCCGGCCATCGCGATTTGGGGTGGTTCTGGGTGGAATTTTTTGATGAAAAATTTTGAACATCTTATTCATCAAGTCTAGTTTACTCATACCAAATTTCAGCTTATCGGAAACACATTCAAATTAATTCTTGGAGATAACTGCTCATTACATAAAATTTCCACCAAGAACCGCCCCAAATCTCGACGGCCGGACAGAGCCTCCTATATAAGGACTTATTTGACCTTTTTATGAAAGTTCGAGAACCTATTTGACAGTTTTCCCCAATAAAACTTCCAAATGGGTTGGGCTCACAGTTTAAGATGGTGAGTATTGCGAGGTGGACAGTTGTGCAGAGGAAAGAGAAATGCGTAAGAAATGTTGTGAACCACAAATTTTTTACTAAAAAGAAAAGGTGAAAATTTTAATTGGGACGGACGAAAAAGGAAAGTTGGAAGTTTATTTAAGGACGGCTGAGTAGCTATTATTGTCAAAGAGTTGGGCGGGTGACCCGAAAAGTGATCCGGTGAAGGGTCAACTCGGACTCGAAGAGTCAGCCTAGGTAATGGTCGATAGACCCGATCAATATTGACTAAATAAAACATAAAATATGCACAGAAATATTGAATGTTGAATACATATTTGTTATCTTAAAATTTTATTTTGGAAAATTTAGTTTGAAAAACTAAAGTTAGGGGGGATTTTGACTTATAATGTCGTTGTATTTGGATGTATTATCTCTTTAAATCCCTTATCAAGAAAAATCCAGTGGAATAAAAACCTCAGTGAAGGAAAAGAGTGCATCGTATTCAAATACTCCCTCTGAATTTAGCATAAATTTAGGAGATGACACATGCTTATTTTCCGGACAAGTTTTGTAAACTTTTTCGGAGAAACGACTTGAAGAGATCGGCTGAATTGTCATTGGATTTGATATGTTGAATGCTGATCTTCCCTTCTTTCTCCAGATCATGAATAGAGAAAAACTTTGATGATATGTACTTTGTTCTATCTCCTTTGACGTAACATTCTCTAATTTGAGCTATGGCCACAGTGTTGTCTTCGTGGATCACAGTAGGATGACAAGTAAATGGCTTCATACCGCATATATTTTGGATCTGTTGAGCCACACATACTCTCTTCCATAAATAAATATGTACTACCTCCGTCCTGGTGGACTTTGCCAAATGCAAAGTAGGTGAGAAATAAGAATAGTAAAAACTGTGTGGTTGAGAATTGTGCAGAAGAGAGATAAATGTACAGAACCACAAATTAGTTGCTTTAATTGGAAAGTGACAAAGTGATAGAGTTGTATTTTTATTATGTATTATTTCTAATTTAACTAGTTTTATTTTTTGTTGTTTGGGAAACTAGTATCGCACCCGTGCGATGCACGGGACAATATTTTCTTGGTTTTAGTTATGAGATATACATATAAAAATATCAAAGCACACACTTTTAATATAATAAGATTAAAAAAATAAATGATATGGGAGATAATATTAATAAGTTGTTGAATTAAAGAATTAAGAACATTGAAATATAAAAAACACTAAACGTTTTGAAAAACTTCTGGGTATACAACATTTATTGTTGAGTTACTGGAGGCACCATCGGGGTTGCATATCAATATTTTCAATCCTTCACGTCTGGTAACTCGGGAAACAGCAACATAGAGTTGACCATGACAGAATATCGGATTTTTTAGGAACAACCCAACATGAGATAACGATTGTCCTTGACTTTTGTTTATTGTCATTGCGTATGAAACCATTATAGGGAATTGTCTTCGCTGAAACTTGAAAGGCATTCTAACATCTGATGGAGTCAAATTCAACCTTGGGATCAACACTTTTTGCCCTGCAGTATGCCCAGACAATATTTTAGCTTCCAACACATGACATCCGAGTCTTGTGATAACCAATCTTGTCCCATTGCAAAGCCCATCTTCTTCTTTCTGCTCAAAGATATATTCCAAAAGTTCTTTATAGTTGTTCCAAAATATGTCATGATAAGTGAATTATAATCTTTTTTACCGTGTCCCCAACCATAGTAGCTACCTTTTTCCCGAACAATTGTTGGCAAGCTGTATCCCATAGAATAAATGCAGTGTTTGCTGTTTTGTCCATAATTCTTATCTTGACTTTGTACCTGTACTTTGTTTAGAGATATTTGAAGTTAGCACTTTTTGAAAGTATGCTAAAAGTTGAACTGCCAAGCTTTAGTACTTAGTCTTGAAAAGCAAACCTCATCACCGCATCACGACAGTTTTTACATGCTGGATTTATACATTCAAAACAGTCACATTTTGGTGCCACCTTCCTGGCACATTCTCTGCAAGCCAAGTACCACCATCCATCTCCAGTTTCTATATCAATGACTTCACCATCAACCCAGAACCGGCCATTCTAATATAAGATTTACAACTGACATTAGATTCTCCATGATCCTTAGTTAAATATAATAATAGAGTAGAATTTCTCAAATTTACCAAGTTTTCCTGGAAGAGGGATTCGATTGTCACAAATTCTTCATCTCCCGAACCCTCTTCTTCCTCTGTGGTCACAACAATTGGTGAACCATTGTAACCCTCATCACCATGCAAGTCAAACCTGTATATGAAGTCATTATGTTTGTCTTAACATAGGCACATACACATCACTGAGTGGAATGCACAATTATAGGTATACATGTCCTTGAAGTCTAGTATCTCTTGGTCTTTACCATTGATTATCAGCTTTGACCCGTGGTAACTGTTGGTCATGCACACTTCACCTTTGTACATTCTTGGGTGAACCATTTGAACAACGATTACCATGAAGTAAGGAGTCTTTTCTACCCCACGCCTTATTGCGTCAACAAAATCAGCCCAGAGAGTGCACCTGATCTTTTGTTCGCTGTATGGCATGTGTTTAAAATTTCACGAAAATATTATTGTTTATTTGAGAAAAGAATTGGTATTATTGATATTAAAATTAAATACATAAAAAGTTATGAACAACATACTCAGGGTCTTCCAAAACCATTTCAACCAATTTTTGGGTCGCTCCGTTATTCTCACGTGGTCTAGGAAAATGGATTGACCTAACGCTCCCTATTATATCTGTGTAACCATGGGTTGTTAGATTCATAGGTAGTCTTTGCATGATATATCAATAATTTGAGAATAAGAAAAGGTAGAATCATATACCAAGCAGCTCAGTGAGGTTTACTTGATTTGCATTTTGAAGTCCAAAAAAAGGTTTGAAGCTGAACATATTTTTTGGAAATGGAACGTCATGGTCAACCAATGTTGTCTTGTGGTTGAAAATGATGTTGAAAGGACAAATTGTTGTCCTGTACTTCATGGAATTAGGAGTCACAACAAAATTTCTCAAGATGTAGACGTTTCCTTCTTTTATGCGCTCCTTGAATGCGCCAAGCCTTTCTCGGCGAATTGTAGCATGAACTTTGTCGCCCTATGTAAATAAAAGAAGAGTCCATTTGTTTGAAAATTCAAAACTGTAAAGTGGACGTGAACTCAAAAAATTATCATGAAAAACATACATCTTGATCGTGAAACACACACTCCATGGTATTGATCACATTTTTGTTAGTGAAAACAGGGACTGGATAGGCACTCACCAGTCTGACTTTTAGTGCCCAGTTTGTCTTTGAGGTGTTAAGCTCTTGGACTCTGTTGAACATCTTCAACCTTGATATTTTCAACCCTCTGCAAATTAGCCACACAATTAATTCACTATATGCTAAAAAATATTATTAACGTAATGAGTAGATGAGAAAAGTTGAGAAATATACTGCAAGAATGCCTGTGCATGAATTTGATATTTTGATTCTTCGGTGATGCATGTATATATAGAGTGGTGTGATTGGCTGGAACTGCCTTTGTCATGGCAGAAATGGTGATGCGTGCTTCAATCGTGGAGAAATTGCTCCCAAAAATTAAATTCTGATAGGACTGATATATTGCCACGTGTGTACTTCTAAAAAAGCCAGAACAGTTATTTTACGTGAATCTGATGTGATGTAATGTATTCAACATCATGTGACACGTGTCATACATCTATGGTCAGAATTGTGCAGCATGTTGCACGATTGTGCTTATATATATATATATATATGGTGCGGTTCCAGTGAGAACGATGCTTAACGTGAGAACGTGAGAACACTCACATTTAAATCACTGTGGTGCACAATGGAGCTATTCTGGTGCACATTTTCAATTTGCTCGAATTAAGCCTATATTAAATAAACACGGTGGCATTTTGGTAAATATTGTGAAAATGTGAAAATGTGCTTATACAAGCTTCATTGTGCAACACGTTGGGGTAAATGTGGTGTTCTCACGTTCTCACGTTAAGCATTGTTCTCATTTGATCTTTATTCTATATATATATATATATATATATATATATATATATATATATATATTACACACTTGGTGGAATTAGTTAATTTTCTTAGATAGATGTAATTTGTTTTGATTAAGATTATTCATAGCTTAAAACAGGTCAAGATCATCCAAAAGATCAAGTTTGGACCCCAAAAGATCAAGGAAAGTGCAAGGGGACAAGATAAAAAGAAGATTGAAAAAATATTTCATATACCCGGTCGGGTATAGGCAATACCCGATCGGGTATTGAGTTGATTCGGGTGTCAAAATCAGAATCTAGAGAGACAAAAAACGTGCAGAATTTTTGAAGATTTGGCTCATACCCTACTTATGCCTAGAAAAGTGACTTTCCGGGAAACTGCCTAAAATACCCGATCGTGTACCCTGTATACCTGATCGGGTACACCACCCTACCACCTCCAAACACCTATAAATACATCCCTTTTCCTTCACAATAATACCTTCTTCCATACTCTTAAGCTTAGTTTAGAATAATATTTCTTTTATATTTTTATATCATGTTTAGTCT